TTTGTTGTAAAAATATGTTTTGAGTCCGTTTGTTTATATTTTTGTCTACCGTTATACTTTGTGCTTATCTACTGTTTTTATATTTATTTTTGCTACTTAATTTCTGCAATTTTTGCTTTCCAGTTAAGTTTTATTTTGTGTTAAATTTTACGGCATTTAAAATTTTGATTCTCAAATTTATTGTTTGCAAACATTTGTTTAAAAAGAAAAATACATACACATGTACATATATATTTTAAAATAAAATCTTCAAACGCTACAATGATGCAAGCAAAAAAATGTTTAAGTTTTCTTTACTTACAAAAATTTTATTTTCTTTACTTTAAAAATTTCAAAATTTTCGTTACTTAAAAATTATTAAATGTTCTTTATTAAACCAAAAATTTTTATTTATTTTACTGTAATATAAAAAATTTTTCCAAAATTTTGTTACTTTAACAAACAAAAGATATTAAAATTTTTTGCATTTTCATTTCGCGCTCCTTTTTTAATTTTTTCAAAAATATTTTATTTTGTTTTAATATTTTTTGTAACAATTTTATAATTTATGTTTTTAAAAATAAAATAAACTATACTTTATAATTAAGAATTATAATTTTATAAAAAAAATATAAACAAAAAAAATGTGCAAAATAAAAATGTAAAAAAAATTTTGAATTTTTTTGGTTCAAGTAAAGAAAATTTTGAAAAAAAGTTTAAATAAATGAAAGTAAAAAATATATATTAAAAAGTAATTATATAAAAATGCAATATAAATTAAAAATGTATTTAAAAATAGCTAGAAAATTCTAAAATTTGAATTGGACAAAATTTAAATTTCACTAAAAATGCGTTAATTTGAAAAATTTCGGAAAAACAATTTTGTAATATAGATAGACAAAAGTAAAAAGTATTTAAAAATAAACAAAAATTTCAATTTGAAAAATTTAATTGATCAAAATGCGTTAATTTGAAAACGAAATAGAAAATGCAACAAAAAAAATGATTTTAATAAATTGAAACTTTTGAAAATGTGTTAATTTAAAAAAGTTCGAAAAATTCTCTGAAATTAAAAAATGCAAAAATTTTCAATGTGAAAAATTTTAACTTGAAAAATTTTAAATTTAAAAATTTAAATTTGACTAAATATGCGTGAATTTGAAAATTTCTAATTTAAAAATTTTGATTTGATAAATTTTTATTTAAAAAGTGAAAAGGATCGAAATATAAAAATGTAAATCAAATAAAAATATTAATTGCTAATAATAAACGAAATTAAAAATATGTATATTAAAAAATAATAACTAGAAATGCAAAAGTTCGAAAAGAATTCTGTAAGATACCAAAAGTTCCGAAATATTCAATGAAAATAAATTTGAAAAATGTATTGCAACAAATATTTTTATAAAAATCATACAAGCTTTACGTCTGCAAGTTGATTGTTGGCTTTTTCTGTTTACGAAATACGTTAGAACTATTACTGCTTAAACTTAACTGACTATTTTTATATCTAGTTTTTGCCTCAAAGTTTTAGATTTTGCTTGTAGTCCGACTGGTCCCTGTTTTCGTTATTTGTTATACCCAGTTATAACCGCAGTTAGCAAGGTCCACTGGTAATTTTTATTTATTTTTTTTTTTTTGGGACCCTAATATTTTGGGTGTTCTAAACAGTTTGTTTTGTTAATTTCCATACCTCAGCTAAACAATACACTTAGTAGTATTTGTTGCTTTTTGGTGTGTGTATGTGCTTTTTCATTTTTAAAATTGAAATACACGCGCCGCATTTGTGTGTGGCATGTTGAGAATAATCGGTAATGAGAGAAAATGAACAACTATGCATACATATAAAGTATAAATATTTAAATATATGTATATGTAACAAGCGAATATTATAATAGACGCTAATAAATGGAAATACATTGGCGAAAAGCCGCATACATCAAGTTAGCTTAAGTTAAGTTATGCTTAAGTTAAGTTAAGCTTACGTACATAAATAAAGGAAAAGCGAATTGTGGATAAGTGTAAAATAAGTCACTTAAATATTTCACTTAAAAATAAATAATGCAAACAAAAAATTACCGTTACAGGCTCTAATGACTTTTCATTACTAATTTCAGCAGCATAATTGATTGACGCTCTTGTAACACCCATTATATGCCTTGCCAAAATGTTTCAAAACTATAAACAATTTAGCAGCAAATTGTTGTTGTTGTTGTTCTCAACAGGTCTACAAAAGCAACATATACAAGCGTAGTGGCTGCGCCGCTGCCTCCAGCATTTGCTACTTCAAACAAACAAATTTTCAAGTATTTTCTGCTGTCGGCTTAGCCGTTCACCACAATATAATCCTGTTTGTTGGGCATCTTTAACAGCCGCCTCGTGCGAAATTCGTACGCGCGCCGGCAGAACATAACCAGTTCGGGATTTGTATTCTCAGGCACGGTGCGTATGCTATAACAGCTGGAGCGTTTGGGCACTATGGAGACCTCCTCTTCGATGTCCTCCTCTGCAGCGCGTAGACGACGGCGGTATCTGCAAAAATTATATAGTCATAATATGAAAATCAGAATCAGTAACAATTAAGTTGAAATTTCGGAATGCCGAAACTCGAAGTTCTAATGCGTGCCGAAAAGCCAAATATAAAATCGTATCGATTTTCGAAATTATGTTAAACATATACACACACTTGCGAAGTTTGTAAAATACGAATTTAGGTTTAAAAATTTTTTTTTGCTCTTCATTTTATTGCTACTACTCACCTACAATATTCGCTGAAAGTGAGCACATAGCACTTATCTTCAATGCAGGCAACTGAGTTGTGATCGCGATGTCTGGACGCGTACACCTCGTCGGGACTATCGTTAGGCTGGCGTCCCTGCTCGGTGTGTTCGGGTCGGTAGTACCACAGCAACGACATCATCATTTCACCTATAAAGTAACAGAAACACACAAATACACACACAAAATAAAATAACGTTAAATGTGTTGTAAATTAAATATATTACGCACCATCTTCGGGATTCTCCCAGAGATGCGCCACCTTTGCCACATATGGCAGATCATTATCCTCATTCGCTTTGAGCAGCACACAGTCGCGTGTGCGTATTATGTCGCCCTCCGAGTGACGCATGGCGAGATAGCAGGTGCGTATGACTAGCGGATCGTCGCTCTGTAATCGTAACGAATATTAAATATAAATTATCCTCACTGATAACGTACACAAGACTTACATTCAGAAATACTGCGCGCTGGAACGGCTCACCCTCCCACGTCCAACCGTTATTCCACTTTGGCACGACATCGCCGCGCGTTGCTGGCGGTAGGCGGTCGTCTAATTCGAAGGAGACTGTGGAATGTTTCACCTTCTGCCGTTTGCGACTGCCGAATTTCGAGCGTGAACGCGTACGTTTAGTACCGTGATGCGGCTGGCAAACAATGCGCGGCATTGGCGGCACCGGCGGCAGGAACACTTGTGCATTGGAATGTTTATCGTGTGGCGGCGCATACTGCTGTTCTTGCACGACTTCTTGTAGCGCCGGCGTCTCATCCAGCTCTTCTGTTGCCATTTGTGCTGGTCCAGCTTCGGTCTCTTCCACTGCACTGCCTTCCGCGTTGCATTTGTCATATATGTTGTTGTTAGTCTCCAATGCCAGTTGCTCTGTGGCCTGCAGCGGCGCTTCCTCAGTTGTTTCCAAAGTATAGTTGTTGTAGTCACAGTCTTGCTGTTTAAGTTTCTGCTTATTTGACTTTGGCTTTTTCGATTTCTTTGCTTTTGTCGTTTTCCGTTTAGCCGGCGTGCGCTTTGACTTGTTTGACATTTTATTTGTGCTGCTGTTGCTGTTGACAATTGCCGTTGGTGCGGCGTACGCCTCTTCTGTGACCTGTGTCAAATCCAAGGCTGTGTTGGGCTCTACATTGCGTGAAGCCAACGCAGCTTCGGTGATTGAGGTAGTTTGTGCGGCACGCGCCATCGCCGCCATAAGTGTGTAGTTTACATCAATAGTCTCAGGCGCAGCAGTGTGCGCTGCTGCTGTTGTGGTTTTAATAGGTTTCTTCGTCTCCGACTTGGAGCGCTTCTCAGCGCACGCCTTTTTGTCTTTCTTCTGTTTACGTTCAGTTGCTGCCTTATCCGCAGCCTGTTCGGTAACGTCAGCAGCATCGCAGTTTGTATACTGATTATGCGTGCCATTGCAACGTGACGTTTCGGGTTCAGAGAAGTAGCCACGCGCCACCGAGTCGATGGTTTCGATCAAGTGCAGCGGTATACAAGTTTTTCGTGGTGTCTTGCCACGCTTCGGTGAAGGTTTCGGCGTAATTCGAAGCGTACTCAGACTGCTGCTACTGTTACTATTGCTACTGCTTTCGGTCAGCAGCATGCGCATTGTTGGCACATCTGTTTGCGTGGTTTCACTGAATTCGCTTTCTGTCTGCTCGGGTTCTTCTACCAAATCGACGATCTCATCCGCGCATGGCTCTATATCTTCTTGTTTTATGTCACTGAGTGTAATCGACTTCTTGCGCTGCTTTCGGCGCTGCAAACGTTCCTGTTTGGCAGCTGCGCGGCGCTTTTCCAAGATCTCCTGTTTGCGGCGTTCTAGCGCTTGCAACTTTTTCTTACGCAACTTCAGTTGCTTCTTTTGCTTATCGGTCAGCACTAGCTGACGCCGACGTATTGTCGCATTAACGCCACCTGCTTTGGCTTGCCTTAACTGCAGTTTACTGTAACGCCCACGTTTATCGAGCTTTCGGCCGCTCAGGCACAAATATGTGCGCGGTTCGGCTTGTTTAATGAGACTTTTGTAACCGTTAGGTGAAGATTTCTTACACTGTAGTTGTGCCTTGGGCAGGTTTAGTATCTTGAGGCGTGTCTTTTGGCAACTGCCCGTTGTAGATAGTGCTGGACTGTGGCAAAGATCGAGCACATCATCATCTGAGGTTGTGGAGAGGTCAATGTCGCATTGAATTACTGGTGGCTGTTGCCAGCTGGGTAAAAGACGCATGCGGCCTACAGAGATAGAGAGAGGGAGAGCAAAAAGTTGGGTTAGTAAAATTAGTATACTATTTTTTTAATAAAAGTCATAACATACCTAACGGTTTCAATGTTGGCGTAGCCATAGCATCAGAAACTTCGGCCGACACATCTTCACAGTTCAATGTCAGTGGCTCAGCCTTGATAAGCTTCAATTCAGCCTTCTCATTGTCTTTGTCATGGTTGTGATTGGACTCTTGTTGTTGTTGCATTTGCAATACAGCATTTAATAGCGGCTCATCGTCTTCCAGCTTAATCTTTTCTGCCTTTATTTCTGTCTTCAATATAAAAGGCGTCTGCAGCGTTGACTGCGCAATCTCCGCGGCTGGAAAGGACTCGCTTAATGTGGCTGGCACTTGTGGTGAAGGACTTGGTGTGATAGCAGTCAACAGCTGCTCCGATTGGAGTGCCACAAATTGTGTTTGCGTTTGCTGGTGCGGCTGCGTCTGCGTTGGCGGCTGTTGCAGTTGCTGTTGTGGTTGTACAATTGCATGCGGTTGCTGCGGCAATGTGCGCACATGTATCATTGGTGTCGTATGCGTTTGTAAACTGCTCTGTGTCTGCGCTGTCACATTTGCAGCGGCGCCTGCGTAGACCATCTCACGCGCCATCGTCTTACCAATACGCGCTTTGCGCCCCAATATTGGAAATACGGCACAATTGTTGGCGGTTGTGGTGGAGTTGGTGGTGCTGCTATTGGTAGATACCGTTGAATTTGGCGTGGATGGTGGTGGTGTCTCCGTAACTGATGTCAAGTCGTAGGCTTCAAGTACTGGCGGCGCATTGTTACCGTTACTGCTCACATATTGCGGCGTTGCCTGTTGTCTGCCAACCAAAGGCACTGCCATTTTGTTGTCACTTTGTGCGCTGCGTAAGTGCAGCTTTGCATTAGCCTCTTCAAGTGCCGCCGCCGCCGCCGCCGCCGGCAACGACGCCGTTGACAACTCCTGCTCCGTTAGCGTGTCTAACAGTTTTTCATCGTTGGTCGTGTAGCTCTCAGGCGGCGTTGGTGGCTGTACTACGCTCTCCTCGTACTGGCTTTTATTGTCCGATTCCTCTAATTTCAGCTCGGACTTAACGGCTTGAAACAGATCTAAATGCTGTTGCGTATGTTGCTTGCCGAACAGTAACAGATCGTCGATTTCGGTTGGTGTTGCTGATGCTAAAGCCATTGCTGTCGCTGTTACTGGTACGCTAGCGTGTGTTGTTGTTGTGTTTAGTGTTGTCGTCGTCGTCGATTTTTTAACTGGGCCTCTACTGGTAGTCAATGAATTGTTGATTGAGCTGCTGTTGTTGTTGCTGCTGCTCCTGCTGTTCTGGCTGTGGTTCGTCATATTCGAACTGTTGTTGTTGCTGTTGCTGTTGCTGCTGTTGTTGATTTCCCTGCTGCTGTTGCTGTTGCTGCCATTCATCAACATATTGTTGTTGTTGCTCAAATGACTCATCGTTGAGCAATTGCTGTTGCTGCTGTTGTTCGTGCTGCAGCTGCTGCTGCTGTTGCTGTTGCTGCCGTTGTTGCTACCAATATGAGGCCCAGTATGGACGTTTTTTGGACACGATTGTTGCATTGGACACGGACACTGTGGTGGATATTCTGCAAATGAGAAGCAAAAACATACATATATAAAGCTGCGTTCCAAAAAGTCAGCCAAAACGACTACTTCAATATTCGGTTTCTGTCTATAGCCCACCCCTTACCCACAAATGTATCTACCTATTAGGTGAGAACCATACTTTTCCTTACCCATATACGGTCCCTGTATGCTGCGCGTATAGCACTGCCCTGCAGCGCTACCGCCCGGACTATAGCCGGTATAATAGCCCGGCGGACCTGGATAATGTTCGAGATGTTGTCCGTGTGCTGCCGGTCCAGCCGGCACAAGTTGTGTTCCGGGGGGCGGTGCTGATGGTGGTGGTCCCTGTATGGACGTTGGTGGTGGCGGTCCAGTTGATTGTGCTGCACCCATAGCCGCTGTTGGTGGTGGTGGTGGTGGTCCCTGTTCGTACAGTTCGGCTGGCGGAGGCGGATGACCTGGCTGATAGTATGGATAGCGTCGGTATGTAGAAGGTGGTGGCGGGCCGGCGCTCTGGTAGACTTTGGTCGAAAAGTAGGGTTGATAGGTGGGCGGTGAGTAGCACACCGCTTCCACCGGATATGGTGTACAATAGTTGGCCGGATACGCAGTCGAATAGTGCATCTGCGCATGCATCGAACGTGGATATGGTGAGCTCTGATGAGCGGCGGCAGCCGCAGCAGCAGCAGCTGCGGCAGCAGCGGCGGCAGCTTGTTGATGAAGCTGTTGTTGATGCTGTTGCTGCTGCACCTGCTGGTGCTGTGTGGTGGGCGCGCCGCTATGTGCGACCGGCGGATAACGGAATGGTGTCAAATCGCCGCCAGTAATAAGCACATCACTGTCTGCGCTATCTGCGGCTGTAGCCGATGGTGGTGGCTGTTGGCCGGCAGCAAGCTCCGGATCGGAGCTAAGCGGCGCGGGTATTTGTTGAGATTTCTTGATAGAAGAAGCGGAAGCAGAGCTGGCAACTGTCGGCAGAAGTGGCACATTAGGAGGCGGCGGTGGTGCTGCGGCTACAGTTGGTAGAACGTGTGGTGAGATCAATGGACCGGCAGGTTGGTAATAGCCTGAAAGTAAACCAAGATAGTAGTATGCAATATTAGTTGTTGTGCAGGAAAAATGTCTGAAATCATATTAATGCAATGGATCACAAGGCTGCTTCAGTTTATGCACATTAATCTTAAAAAATATAATAAAGTTGATATTTAGCGCAGTACACACCAGAAAGCATTCCCATCGATCAATTTCATATTAAAAGACATTCGTCACTATGCTAAGCAGCAACATTCACACTTTCATACGCCGAGCGCTGTTAGCGTATAGCGCACAATGTGCAGAAAACCCGAAAATAAACAACAACAACAATAATGTCTATTTATCGCGCATTTTATATTTTTACAGTTGCAGGCGCTGCAATTGTTGTTGCTTTCGACTGCATACTTTGCTTGTTAAACATGTTTTTGTTGCTGCTGCTGCCTTGCTGCCACCGTTATAAGAAAAATCTTACGTAAAAACGCGCGCATATTGCAGTTACGTTGCGACAGCATGCGCGCTTCCATTGGATATTAGAGGTAGGCAGCGCAAGCTAGTGCTGTTCGGTTAGACAGTTGCAACAACAAAAAAACAAGTTTTTATTTTATTTGCTTAATTTTTAATTTTTTACGCTTTGCTTTTGCTTTTTTTTTCCGCACAACTGCATTCAATTGACAGTTGCTGCTGCATTTCGCTAACAGCAGCCAACAGCAACTGAAAACAATGTTGCAGTGTGTGTGCGGCAAATAGCAACAGCGACAAAGGTAAAATGCTTAACAAAGCTATAAATTTAAATGTGAAAATTTCCTGGTTTAGTTTTCTTCTCTCGCTTTTTAATCTGTTGCTTTGCCGCTGCTTCTGGTAATTTGACTTTTGTAGTGTGGAAATTTGACATTTTGACTTTTACGTCGGTAAGCGGCAAAGGTTAGTGAGGCATTTGACTGGTACAAAGTGGGAAAATCGATTTGATTTTTGAAAATAGTGTTGGGTTTGGGATTGTATACAAATTAGGGTGAGTGGACAAAGGGTAAAACTTTCGAAACGGAAAAATGCAAGAGAATTGAAATTTTTTCTTAATTACCAGATTTTTTGTAGAAAATTTAAATTTATTCTTAGTAACTAGTCTCTCTGTTACTTTTTTTTTTCTGTTGTGAAGAACAATTGTCGAAAATATCGATAAAGTAATGGAAATCGTCAAGTCTGAACGTCATGTAAGCACTGTTTCAATTGCCTATAAGCTAAATGTTGCACAAAAAACCATTTGGAACCATTTAAATAAGGCTGAATGAAAATAGAAGCTTGATGTATAAGTGCCACACAAGCTAACCTAAGCCTCATGGGCCCAATTTCCAGCTTGTGCTGGTGTCAAATTGTTTCTCAGTTGAGGCTTGTTTAAACCGACTGTCCAAGTTTCATAATCAACCGTTGCGCTAATAATCAATTGCGTTTTAATTTACACCTAATTTATATGAATAATAACAGCACTTTTACAAGTGAAACTAATGCAACTCAATTACCACAATTTCATGTTAAATAGAAATGAATCGTCGTGATTACTATCATTTTCCGTGTACGCCTTGTCGAATCACACTTTCAATGACAGCTTAATGTAAATAGTACACAAAAAAGTGTCAGGCTAACAAAATAACCTCTGCGCACACAGCCATACATACATACATTATACGAGTATAAATATGTATGTAGCCACATTTCAGTAATTATAAATTTATATCATGTCACTTGCAGCACACGATTTGATGACTCGATTTTGTGGTTTTCTTATCGCTTAAAGATTCACACATTCACCACAAAGCAGGCATTAATTTTATACGCGCTTCACACGCTGTCGCCGCCTAGTGTTGTTGGCTATACAGCGAACCCACCCACCAACACATTCATCACTAATTTCCGCGCACTGTCAGACTGTCAGACAGTCAGCCCGGAATCAATGACTACCTCATTAGCATTTGCTTGCCACTTTCAAGCTAAAGCTATAGTTGGTGGGCAGCGGCAGCGTTCATATAAGAATCGGCGACAATGCAGCTAATCAACCGGTGTCTATCAATCAATACGCCACATAAATTTCAAATGAAATAGGTTGTAGAATAAGAGTATTTGTGCCGTAAGCTGTTTGTTAGTGTGTGTATACGCGCGTATTGTGGCACATCACGAATTTCGTGATGCCGTATAATCTACTATGAACAACAGCTAGATTGTATGGCAAGTTGGAGTTTATTAAAAATGCGCGTAGCCAATATAATATGCGTTTTATGTGCTGGTTAGCGGCGGTGGTGGAGTGTGAGAAGTTACAAAGTACATACTCGAATAAATATTATAGCGGTATATTAGAAGTATATGCAGAGCCTTGCAAAGCATATTTTAAGATCTATAAAGCTAATTTTTTTAGTTAAAAGTCTATGCTTTATCATTTTAAGGTATCTAAGGTAGTGGTGGACGCCACTGAGTAATCGGTGCCGTACGGAATTTTAATATTGTTTCAAAATCACGAAGCATTCCTGAAATAGGTTTGTAAATTCGAGTCGTTCGTGCATGTAAACCTTGTTTTTAAACCATATATTAGTGTCTTTGTAAGTTATTCGTTCTATCTGATGATTCATTCCTTTCTACTCTCTGTCATGCCGTAAATCAAAACACAACCCATCACTAATTCACATCACATCAACACAAACGGTTGCCATTGCCTCAATGCAGTGACCCCAAAGCGCTTTCTTATATAGAGCCAGCAGGCTTGACATCACATCAACTGAACAGAGTCACACGGCTACTAGCCAGGCACCACAGCAGTCTTTCTTATATAGAGCCAGCAGCCTGTAGGCGTGCACTGAAATCACATAACATCACCACTTGATATCACATCAACTCAATAGAGTAACATGGCTACTAGCTGGCCACCACGGCTGTCCCTCTTATATAGAGCTAGCAACCAACCTGCACTTTAAATCATTACTTGATATCACAGCAATTCAATCGCGACATGTGAGACCCAGCCAGATACGCCAACGATTTTCCTTCCTAGATTCTTGGTTTCGCTCACAAATTTCACGAAGAGGAGAGTTTAAGGACGCAAGGTTAACTTAAAATTGGACTTGGTTTAAATGTATAATTTTTTTATAATTATATTTGTATATTCTAAAGGCTCAAGAAGTCCATAATTGGTTTTGAAGCAACTCAATGAAGCTAGATAGCCTCTAGATAGCGGGAAAACAGGCGAATAAGATCTAATTTAGCAAAGAGATACTTGGCGGTAACAATTTTTTCGAATTCAATTACAAGTTGTTATACTATATAGGTATGCCATTTAAATTTGTTATCTATATACATACATATATAAAAATTACGTGTCACGTAAAAATTTTTAGTCAAATTTCGCACACTGTGTTCAGTTTGCTCCAACTTAAAAGATAGGAAAGTTTATATCTTAATTATGTAAAAAAGTTAATTTAAAAAATTTCTGAACATAAGAAAAAATTAAAAAGAAAATTATTAATTATAGTTTTTCAATAAAGTTATAAATGGAAAATTAATTATATTTTCCATTGAAAAACATTTCGATTTTTATACCCGCAAAAACGTTTTCGCCTTTATTCGTCAATAATATTTTCACTATATTGAATAGTTTATTATACCGTGATCGGATCAACAAATAAATTTGTATATATTTCTAAGCAGAAGCTCTTGAACAGTAGAACTAACCGTAGAATCATAAGTTGTATTTATGCACAAAAAGCATAAAAAACTGTATAAACGATGTCATCATATGTCACTTTGCTACACACTTTAAGTGGCTAGATGTGAACAGAGGCTAAGAATGGCACAATTGCCGAGGTGTGACAAGTGCTTAAATATTATAGATAATAAAGTAACACATAAAAATAAATTAAGTAAAAATATGTACAAAAACAAAAAAATGTCGAACAGCTGTCAACGCACTGCCATCAAACCAGACCTATTGGTTATGCAGTGGAAATAACCTAACAATATGACAAGACCGTAATTTCGGCTTAAATTGTTTGCGAACATGAGCGCAATAACTAACAACCCCTAAGCAAGTGTAGCGTACGGCTGACAGCATATTAGCACCTTGCTGCAGACGCGGCACAGGACGAAACACTACGCAGCCATACCGTGAAGCACGCTTAGCTTTTAGAGTCAATGACATGTCAAGATAAATAAAGGTTTAGCTGGTGCTAACATGCATCCACATACAAATACGTATGCAACGTGCGTACAAGTCTACACACTTGTAGTAAGTATGTACTATAAATGGCTACACCCTTGTCGTACACCTACATACATACACACCTAGGCAATTGCAATGTATCGACAATAAAAATCACAACATACTTAAATGGTAATAAAATTGTGGTTGCCTAATGTTGACACCGCGACACGACAAACACGTACGCACATGCACACGAACGACATGTACGAGCATGCACACACGAACATTTTACATTGATTTTCTTGCACACTTCTTCTTGTGCGCACTTCCTGTTTCCGTTGGAAAAGCGAGCGCAAGGAGTGCGCCACAGCAGTTTTGCCTTGGGCTTTGTCAGGATTGTTGTTAGCATAGGTCTTTGACATGGAATATGTTTGCGTTTGATTGCTTGATTTGTTGTTGGCATGATTCAATTCGTAGACATCTTATTATTGCGAAAACATCTATATTTCTATTGCGATTGATTGTGGCTGTGAGAGCAATAAAAATGCGGAAGCCAAAAGTAGTAAACAAACATGAGGTAAACATATCAAGCAATATCGATATGTCTCCGCATACTTCTGTATATGTGTTTTGCAAATAGGTATGTCTGCATGTGTTTGTTGTAAATTCCAGCCATAGCTGTGTCTTGAATTGTAATTGCCTTGCAATGTTTATGGTTTGATGGCTTCATTATGACAACTGCAAGTCAGCACGCCCAACACATTAAAATATTTAAAGAAAGGTGTTAAGTAATTAGCGTTATGTGTTTGTTGGATAAGGCTTTATAGCAAGCACAACCAAATGGTGGCGATG